TAATTTTTTGTATTATATAATAATTATTTTTAATAATATACGTTTTAATTATTTATTAACTTTTTTTTCTCCAATTATCGTATCTACAGTAACTAGCCACTTTTACAAGAAAAGAGTATGTATATAATCGCTTCTTGCATGAATAAGGGTGTGTTTGTTTGAGGATTTTGATTTGAATAACAAAATTTTAAATTTTATAATAATTTGATGTGATATAAATAAGAATTGATGTAATTTTTAATGTAAAATAACTTCTTAGTGTTTAAAAAAAAATATTTGATTTAATAATTTTTAGATTTTTTTTTTTTAATAAATAGTATAAACAAAGTAAAATTAGCCAAACAAACTCACCTATATAATTTTGAGGATATTTTCAATGTGTAGTATGGATAATCAAATTTATAAAAGAATAAGAGCAAGAAAGAGTATTTGGTATTTAGTTTAAATATATTTTTATTAAAAAAAAAAACAAATACGTCTAATTTAAATAAACGGAAATAACAAAATAAATGCCTTAAACTCAAACAAAAAATTATACTTCCTCCATCCCATATCTATCTATTCGTTTACTTTTTGTACAAAATTTTAAGAATATTAGTATTATATTGAGATTTAGTAGAAATAAAGGTAAGAAAACTAAACTAATCTTATTAGTATTGTATGATATAAATGTAATAACATTTGTGTAATATATTATAAAATGAAAATGTATTTGTAATTTTAGATAAATAGTTAATTACTAAAAAAATAAAGAAATTGATACTTTGTTATTGGACGAACCAAAATGAAAAAATTGATAAATTATTAAAAGATAGAAAAAATATATCTTTTGAATAAACATAATAAATATTTTCACAACCGTCGCTAACTTACAATAAAATTTCCAAAAATTTATAAATAGTAAATGATCACTTATTCTTTTGAAAAAGAGAGTGCACTTTACTGGTAATGTAAGTATTATATTTTTATTAAAAATTATAAAAATTGCATAATCAAGACATTTAAAAATAAAAAATAAATAAAAAATAAAAAGAACATGGGAGTCTCTTTCTGCTTCTTTCTATAAATTTGGAGTTTTACAACAATTCTTGTTTATGGATTAATAAAATACATAATAATTTTTAAATGAGATATTGCTTTGTGATGTCTGAAAATTCTGAAACTTTGTTAACTAGCAACTTCTAGGAAATTTCCAATATACATATTTAAAATATAGGAAATTATTTATTTTTGATTCCGTACGTACGTGATCACTTTTATTATCTTAGAACTAAAATTAGATCATACTTCCTCCGTCCCCAATCTATCTATCCATTTTATTTATGCATGAGATTTTAGGAATATTAGTATTATATTGGAATAAAGTAGAAATAAAGGTAAAAATACTAAATTAACCCTATTAGTATTATATGATATAAAAGTAATGACATTTGTATAATATATTGTAAATTGGAAGAATATTTGTAATGTTAGTTAGATAGTACAATTACTAAAAAAAGAAACGGATACTTTGTTATGGGACGGACCAAAATGGAAAAATAGATAAATTGTTAAGGGACGGATGAAGTATATTGGATTGATTCTATAATTAAAAAAATTTCGCAAAAAATAGTTTTCAGACATCGAAGTTGTTAGCATGGCAGCAGGGCCGTCCCTGGCCCCGGGCGAAAAGGGGCGACCGCCTAGAGCCCAATCTAAATTGGGGCCATTATTTATGTTATGTATAAATTATTTTAAAAAGAATTAGACAAAGTTAATATTAATAGTATTATTTATATTTTGCATATAAACATATTAGGAAATTTATTTTATTTAATTATTTATATTTTATTATAAATAAAAAAATATTATTTATACATATTTATGGGTCCCTAATTTTTGTTTTAATATTGTTAATATTAATACTATTATTTATATTTTATCTAAAAATTCTAAAAAAATTATTTTATTTTAATAATTTATATTCTATTATAGGTAAAAAAAAAGTCGGAGTAGATCATTTATATATATTTCGGGATTTTTTATTTTTGTTTTAATTATATTTTTGCACTAAAAAGATGATAAATATTAGACAAAATTATTATTAATATTATTAGGCAAAATTATCAATAACTCATTTATAATTTCGAAACTCAGTGTAAATCTTTTATATACTTTAAAAATATTATGAACCCCCTTATACTTTAAAAAATGTTCCATCAAACTTATTTTTATATTTTTTTTTTGTGATGAAAAAATGACTTTTCATCTTTTTTTTTTTTTTTTTTTTTTTTGTATAGCAATGATTTTATATAACGTTTGTTAAAATATAAGAGAGCCTTACGCAATTTTTAAAATTTATGCTAGAAAAAATATATATATATTTTAATTTATATTTTATTATAGGTAAAAAATATTATATATATATATTTAAAGGCCCCTAACTTTTATTTCGCCCTGGGCCCTTCGAAAGTCAAGAACGGCCCTGATGGCAGCATCATGGCACGCCGAAGATTATATGAATAACACGTGAAAAATATTTGAAAATCATTTTAGTATCATAACTAAACTATGTATTAGATCAATCTCATAACTAAAAATTTTAGATAGAAATAATCTTCAAATGTGTTCACATGTCATCCTCATAATTTTTAACGTACTACAACGTTGTCATGTTAGCAACTTTCACATTTGAAGGCTATTTATGCTATTTTTTTTAGTCGTAAAACTACTCCAAATTTAGTTACGGTCCTAGAATAATAAGAGGTGTCACGTGAGAAACGGAAAAGTACTCCCTCCATCCCATGTAATATAGACGTATGACTGTAAATACGAGAATTTAGATAAAATATAATTAGTAAGTAATTAAAAAATATATTAGTAAAAATAATTATAGATAAATATTAAGATAACTAAATAGTTTAATTAAAATTTTTTTAAAAAAATTATAAAATTTAATATTTAAAATATGATTAAATTGTGTAATTATATTTCAAAAAAAAAATGACAAATTATATGGAACAGACGAAAATAGAAAATAAAGACAAATTATTAGAGTCGGCAAAAACTGATTCGACACCACCCGATACGAAATAATTGGGTTTGGGTCAAAAATTTCAACCCGATTATGTATACGGGTTGGCACGAACCCGACACGATAATAAACGGGTCGGGTTAGGGGTTGAGACTCTCAACTCGAACCCGACACGACAACTCGATTATAATATATTAATATTAATTACTATATTTATTATATATATAAATAATCATAATTTAATTTTTTTTCATAATTTTAAATAATTCAACTTAACTTACGTTCAAACCAATAAAAACTAATATAACACGACAACAAAATAAAAAATTATTTAATTTGAATCAAGAAATTTGACTTAATTATGTATACGGGTCAACACGAGTCAACCTGAACCCGACACGATAATAAACGGATTAACACGAACTCGACACGATAATAAACGAGTCAGGTTAGGATTGAGTAATTTAACCCGTTTAAAGTAGTCAACCCGATACGAATCGACCTATTGCCGGCTCTAATTACGGCAATAATGTTTGGGATTTATTACAGCCCAATTTGAGATCTTAATTCACCATTTTACTTAATTATAATTTTAGGCCCATTGGGCCTTTTTTTTAACTCTGGGAAATATTTGAAGCTGTTTACGATTCTTTTAATAGTAAATTGGTATTTGATTTTTTGAATGAATGTTTTTTATTTATTTTAATAAGAAAAATAATTTAGTACTCCCTCCGTCCCATATACTATATCTGCGCTACACTGTAAACACGGTATTTTAGGAGATGTGTAATTAGTAGATAATTAAGAATGTATTATTGAAAATAATTATCCTATAATATAAATAATTATAAATTAAAATTAACATAACTAATTAGTTTAATTAAAATTAAAAAAAATTAAAAAATTTAAAATGAGATTAAAGTGTGTAATTATTTTCCAAAAAAGGAAAGTGACATGGTATGTGGGACGGACAAAAGCGGCAACGTGAACATGGTATCTGGGAGGGAGGGAGTATTATTTGTATAATGGTGAAATAAAATTAAAATGATGACTTCTCCGAAAACAAATAAATAAAATTGGCATTACTTAGAAAATTAAGTTTATATATAAATTTTTATAGTAGTTAAATGTAGTAGGAATGAAAATTGAATTTTTAGTTAATTAAATATTCGAAAGTGTCAACTAAGATGCATTTAATTAATCCAAAAATAGGATAATAAGTTGCATTAATGACATTGTTATTCTCATTGTGATTATTCTTTCTTTTGTTTTGGAGCTAATTAAGATTTTACTTTAATTTTTTTTTTTCTTAAATTATTATCCAATTTTATATAAACACTCATAGCTCAGTAAAAAAGTTATTTTAATGAATTTTTGGGTACAAAATTTAACTCATCTGTTTATATCATATTCTTTTCGTCCTATATAAATATCTATTTTTTTTTTTTAATTTTTACTTGTACTATATAATTTGCTTAATTTTTTTTTGAAATTTTAATTATATTTTAAATGTTATATTTATAATTTTGTTTAATTTTAATTAAATTAGTTAATTATATTAATTTTAATATATAATTATTTTTATTAATATAATTTTAAATTATTTATTAATTATATTTTACTTAAATTATAACGGTTGCGCCAATTCAAGGACACTTTTTTACGGGAGGAATGAATACTAATTTTTTTAAATAAATCCTAAAATTTATTAATGTTTTTTTTTTTAGAAAAAAAAAAAAAAAAAACCCTAAAACCCTCAAATATATTTTCATTACATGTAAACGATGTAATCGTGCCGGAAGTGAATATTCAAACGACAATTTGTATCCAAATCAAACCAATCTTGAAGGGTCCAGGACTCCAACACCGGAAAAAATCCACACCGTCCATCATTCTAACAAGCTAACGCGGCGTCGATACACCGGGACCTCTCAGGAACCTCTTTCCCGACCGAGCCCCGCAGTCATCATCTTCATCTACTTTTTTTTTCTACCCTCTTTCAGGCGGCGTAAATCCAAAGGTAAAGTCCCAATTCATCCAAAAAATTCCCCCAAACCCGCCGCTAATCCTCCAGATTCGCTGCAGCACAAATGTAATCACACCATCGATCGATTAATCGCCGGCGAGAACTCCCTGTAAGTAATGAAACGATTTCACAATCCCCCAAATCGGAAATGCTCGCCGCCCCTCGCCGCCGTCGCCATTGCCGCCGTCCTGCTAGTTCTCATCCTAATTTTTTCTCAGCCTAAGACCAGCATCAATTCCTCCCCGATTAATCGGACCTCAGAGCCGCCTGAACCGCCGCGATTCGCGTATTTCATCTCCGGCACGCGCGGCGACGGCCGGCGGTTGAAGCGGCTGCTCCAGGCGCTGTACCACCCGCGAAATTACTATTTAGTCCATCTGGATTTGGAAGCCTCCGAATCAGAGAGGATTGAGCTCGCGAAGTACGCCAAATCGGAGGCGGTTATGCGTGCGTTCAGGAATGTGATGGTGGTTGGGAAGGGCAATATCGTCATTTCAAAGGGCCCGACGGTTATGGCGTCCACACTCCACGCAGTCGCCATTCTTCTCAAGCAAGCCAGGCGGTGGGACTGGTTCGTGAACCTCGGAGCTTCGGATTATCCTCTCATGCCGCAGGACGGTTAGTTTTTTTCCATTTTCTACGCTCGATTCAATTTATCGATGAAATTAGCAACAAAATTCGTTAGTTTAAGCATTGATTGCACGTGATTGTCCTCCTAATTGATTATGGCTTGAGAATTGAGCTCGACATTAACAATGGCGGATTGCTTTGATTCAGATATCCTGCACGTCTTCTCCTACTTGCCTAGGGACTTAAATTTCATCGAACACAGCAGTGACTTTGGGTGGAAGGAGTGAGTATTCAGATTTGAATCAATTATCCCCTGAATTTGAGCTGATCATCGATGTTCTTCAATGCATTTGCTGATTAATTACGCATTCGAATTGGCTATTCATTTGTGGTTGTTCTTGTTTACGTCATCGTCGGTTGCAGGCATCAAAGAGCTAGGCCTATTATAATCGACCCTGGATTGTATCACTCGAAGAAATCGGGTGTGTTTTGGGCAAAAGAGAAGCGATCGTTGCCGGCTTCATTCAAATTATTCACAGGTCACAGCTCGTCGCCATACTTTTCAATCTAATAATTTCCTCAACTTAATATTCCATAGTATGATTTTGTTAATTGATAGCATTCTTGATTGGGATGAAATTGCATTCTCTGAGTTAGCTAGCTAATATTGTTTAAGATATCGGCATTGAAATAATTTAGTAGTTTGGATTGAAATTTGAGCTCTTCGTAGTTTTTCTTCGTTGAATATCTACTTTTTTGATTTACTACAGGCTCGACGCATTGTTTGCTTCGATAAGCTTTTAGTATATCTTTTTATGGGTATGTATTGATCTTGTCGGCATTAGACTTGCGATATTTATGGCTAATCATTACGGCTGATGTCCGGATGAGATGTTTCGTATAAAAAACTATAATTTTGGGGAAATGTTACAATGTTGATTTGAAAAAATCAGTAGCGTGGTGATTTTTCTAATCAATATGTGTTGGTTGTAGTAAAAACATGTGTTGTTTGTTCGTAATTACATCATGTTCTAAAATAAACTGTTACATGTGTTGTGTGAGACTATATCATGTGTTATTTGTTAGCACATTGCACGCTGTTTAGCACAGCTGTAGCCGCCGCCATGATTTTGATATGATCATTTATACGAAAAATGAGTATTTGGTACGATATTTCTCTTTTCAAAAAAAAGATACCGTCGAAGAATAGTGTCATAAGTAATTTGAAAACGTACATAACCAGATTCTTTCATCTTTGTAGGATCCGAGTGGGTGGTTCTTTCAAGACCGTTTCTCGAGTTCTGCATCTGGGGTTGGGACAATCTCCCGCGCACACTCCTAATGTACTACACAAACTTCCTGTCGTCGTCGGAGGGCTACTTCCACACGGTGGCGTGCAACCACAAAGATTTTCAGAACACGACGGTGAACAAAGACCTTCGATACATGGAGTGGGACGATCCTCCCAAGGAGCAGCCGACGAACCTGACCACGGCGCATTTCGACAGCATGGCTCGGAGCGGCGCGCCCTTCGCGCACAAAATCCCCGAGGACGATTCTGTGCTTGATAGGATCGACCGGGAGCTACTGAAACGAAGGGACGGGGAAATTGCGCCGGGCGGGTGGTGTTTGGGGTCGAAAAACGACGATCGTCGGTGCCGGGTTTATGGGAGTGCCGATGATATTAGGCCGACGGGATTGTGTTCGAAGAGGTTGGAGAAACTTGTTGTGCAGCTTCTCGATCCTCAGAGTTTTCGATCTAGACAATGTAAGTAACATTGCGATAGCTTCGTTAATTTGTTCGAAAAAGCTTCTTTTTTATTTTATATTTATTTTTAACCAAAGAAAAAGAATGTAGCTTTGTATTGGTATGTGATGAGGTATTGTTGTATGTATATAAGTGTTTTACGTGAAATAGGAAGTTTTTTATTTATTTATTTTTTATTTGTAACTTGAGGTATGTCTTGTTGTAATGAGATTTTGTGTGATTTAAATTGAATTGTAATGTAAATTTAAAACATATTTTGATGTTCTTTAATATACTTTATCCGATTACTCGAAAATATTTATTTTGTCATTTTTTATTACTGACCAAAGCGAAGCTAGACGTGGGCAATGGGTCTAGTCGCGTCGGGATCGTGTTTGGTTGAATACTTTAAACGGGTTAAATTACTAAATTTTAATTCGATCCGTTTATTATCGTGTCGGGTTTGTGTTGCATTCGTGTTGATCCGTATACATAATTAGGTCAAAATTTTTAATTCAAATACAATTATTTTTGTTGAATTAGCGTGTTATTGTCGACTCCAGTGTAATGTGTATAGTGAATTAGTTTAGATTATTTAAAATTAAATTTAGTTTAAATTAATACGTGAATTAATTATTAAATTGAAATTATTTTACATATATAATAAATATATTAATTAATATTAATATATTATAATCGAGTTATTAGATCGGGTTCGAGTTGAAAGTTTTAATCCTAACCCGATCCGTTTATTATCTAGTCAAAATCATTGACCAAAATCCAATTGTTTCATATCAAATTATTGTATCGTGTGAATTTTTGCTGGCTCTAACTAAAACATAGGATTTTTTTAGGAGGTGAAGACCTCATTATATAATGACAATATCATTATATATTTATACGTATTTATATTAATAACATAACATCAACTTAAAATGCAGTTACAAAATAATTTTTATAACTTTCATTAAATTCTAGTACTTTTTAGTTTTTGTCAAAAATAAATATATATTTATTAAGTGGATGAAAGGAATATATCAACATGAATGTCATTTTGTATAATATAATTTTTATATGATCATAATAAATAAAAATGTTTTTTTTTTTTTTATAGAATTAGTCTAAATTAGTTTATAAAAATTAATATATTATATATATATATATTCTTGTTTAGAAGAAATGAGTAAAATGAATTCTACTTTATAAATTTAGAGAAATAATTATTTGTGAGATATGAAAAAAAGTTAAATATATTGTCATTTTTTTTAAAAAAAAAGCAAATAAATCTTAAATTTTCATCACTTCCTTTTCTAGAAGGAATGATCCCAAATGGGCTTACGTGAACCCAAAAGTTGAATAGGTATAGGCCCAAATATTCTGGCCCAAGACAGCATCCAAAGGTAGGGGCAATTGAGTCAAATCATCCAAACATACAAGGCTGGCATTACCATCACCGCTTCATATGTCGTCATCTTCCCCATTCATGTTTTTTCTCATAATAATAATAATGTTTTGATACATCTGAATTATAACGTCGAATTAGATCCACAAAAATTGAGATATTTTTTTTAAATATATATATATATTTCCATAGTAATTCAAATTAAACCAACACCAAAATTATATAAAAATTAAATTAAATTAATTTGTGTGGATTACATGAAATTGGTGAATCCTAGACTAGAAACATTGATTTCAGCTAGTAGTATGATTGGTATTGGATTGGATTGGATTCCCTGTGTATATATATATATATATGATTGAAGAAAGAGTTAGTATCAGCAGTAGCAGTCCTTATTAACCCCACATGCTTTATTTATATTTCGATCGAGGATATGTGCCTTTTACTTTTTTGAACACCTCTCTCTCTCTCTCTCTCTCTCTCTCTCTCTCTCTCTCTCTCTCTCTCTATTATTGATGTTTTACTCTCTCTCACTCATCACTTCTCATCACTTTCTCTCAGTTTATATATATATATATATATGCATATAATTATGAGAATTTTTTGATTTGATTTAGCAAATTAGTTTCTGCAAACATTTGTTCATCTGGGAACTAGTTGGATTTGAATTTCGTTTTAGGAATGGATTGAAAAATTATATATATATATGAAATTATAATATATATAAATGAGATGCGACCGTTGTCATTTTCGAAAAAGTTGGGTCTTTTTTTTTTTTTTTTTTTTTTTTTTTTTTCTGTTATAAATCTTTTTTCCAACTTCGAGAATGAATCTGATTCTCTCTACCATGAAAGTTCAAATTCATGATTTTACTGATTTAACTTTTTAAAAATAAATAAAAAAAAAGAAAAAAATCGAACTAGAATCAAGAATTGAAGAAGAAGAAGAAGAAGAAGAAACTGTTTGGCAAAAAAAAAAAAAAAAATCTCAAAAAAGAGAAGGGGAAGAACCTGTTTGGTAATATAATCTAAAAATTAGGGTTTGTTCGTTTTGTTTTGTTATTAGTTATGATTAATTGTGTTGCTGTTTGAGTGAATTGAAGTAGTTTATATTAGTTATTTTTAAATATTTTATGAGACGAAATAATATATATTTTTATTAATAAATATACAAATATTTATTAATTTAAGGGTGTGTTCTCTTATCAAATTTTACCTAATTTTTAATATTCTATCAAAATATTTTTCTTAAAAATATCAAATCAAACATTTAATTTTTATTTTCTATATTACACTAGAAATCAATTTTTACAAATTCAAATTTTATCAAACAAACACGAATCTTGTAAACTTCAAGAGAACAAACCCTAAGTAAGAATATATAAAAAATAAAATAAAGTCTTGAGAGGGAAGCAACAAGAATGTGAATTGAATAGAATGTAGTGTTATTGTTGAGACAAGAGGGATCCCACAAGTCTTGAGTACTTTTTCCTTTCTCTAACAACAATGTGCAAAAACCTAATTAGCCCAATTAACACACAACACATTATTCTTAATTAATTAATTAAGACCATGCACTCTTCTTTAATTTCTATAATATTATAATCTTACAAAGAATATACACTAGTATATCTATATCTTCTATATCTATATGTATGTATGGATGTATATGGGGTGGGGGTGGGGGTGGGTGGGTTGCAGTGTGCATAAGTAGTCCCATGCAAAAAAAGAAAGGTAGAGATGGGAAATTAAAGAGACTGGAGAGGTGGGGTGGGGTGGGGTGGGGTGGGGAATGACTGACTGACTCAATGAATCAATGATAACAGAAACCTATAAAGGGTGTGTTTCTTTAAATTTTGATTTGGATTTGAGGGTTGCAAATAATATTAATTTTGAGAAAAATTATAATTTAATTACTTATGATTTGAAAAATCTGAATTAATATATGTTCTTTTGATTTAAAAAGGGTACAAATTGAATTCTCAAAAATTGGGTGATTTCTTTGTATTTTTAAAAAGATTAAACACATTACCTAAAAAGATCGTGTTTTTAAATAGAATGTGCAATAATTTTCAAAATACGATGAATCAGTTTTTAAATATGGGAGAATGACAAGACTTTTCAAATTATAAGAATGTTATAAGCAATTTTGCTAAAATTTAAATTGAAGTAATGCTTTGATATAATTATATAAATAGTAGGTGTTTTGAAATGATATTTTGACTAAAAAAATTATTTTTGCATAGTATAATAAATAAAAATAAATATTTACTACAAAAAAAAATAGTATATTTATAACGGAATTCCGTTCCTAAAGTTCACGTAGCTAACGTAATTCTATCTCTAATTATGTCTCTAATATCATTAGTAACAGAAAAAGTGAATTTAGAAAAGAAAAAATCTCGTTACAAAATTGATAATTTCTTATAGTGATTCAATTTAATAGTATCGAAAGAAAAAATAAAAATAAAAAATAATATTCAGACCCTTAAAAGTATTTCTCAGTCTGTTCATTCCACCAACTACTCACCTTTACTATTTAATCTCTCTCTCTCTCTCTCTATATATATGTATATATATTATTTTATTTTTTTAATATATGATAATGCATTGATTTATTATATATAGTAGTATATTATATGGGCATCAAATTGATTGAAAAAGTGAGACTGGAATTAAGCCATAATTATGGTATTTGCTTCGTGGTCTCGTCAAATTGTGTGTATAATTTTTTAAACCCCTATCCCACACTGTATGTCTCTATCATATATATATATATAAAATAATAATAGTGTTTTATTTTTATTTTTATATATATATATTTTTTTAAAAAAAAACAACAACAATGTGTTGGGTAGATTAATTAATTTATCCTATGTAAGGAAAAATATCATCACTTTTTCCATGCAATGATCGGACACACACACATATATAAATATATATATATATATATGAAGCTTAAAGGCTAAGTAATTAAGAAGAGAAGAAAACCCTAAACCTACATCTATAGATAGATGCTGATTAAGATTGATAAGTATTGTGCTAATTAATTATGGTTTATTATAAATGACTTGAGTAAAAATTTAAATATTAACCCAACATAAATATTTATTGACAATATAAAGTAATAACCTACACAACAAATACATATATTAACCTAGTACAAATAAATGGTAAGAAATACATCAAATAGTAATAAAAGACACTGTGGTGCTTCGGAAATTCCAAGACAATCAAGAATATAAGCTCACGCGTCTATGAACTTTACAATTTCGGATTTGATCTAATTTTTTTTGAAATTATTTAAAATAACTTTGGAATTTTCAAGAAAACTGAAAGGACAATGAATTTTACTCTTTGAGTATCATCCCGAAACAAATTTGAAGCTTTTAAAAAATGGTCTAGAAAGTAGTTTAAATTCCGAAGCAAATTTCCGAAGCCAAAATGCAATTTTTTAGCTGATTGTGTTATATATACTATTATCATGTGTTAATTAGCTCTAATCCGTATTGATGTAACCATCTTATATATATAAATATATAAATATATATAGAGAGATAGAGAAAGAGAGAGAGAGAGAGGTGATAACTCTTAAAAACCCTAAAAAGTAATAAAACAAAATTAGACAGAGTGAAAACAAATTAGCACCCAATTCTTGTGTATGAGAGTAGCACTAGTGTTTGTGTTTTTTAATGCTCTCTCTCTCTCTTCTTCTTCTCTCTCTATATGTAAATGTATATGTATATATGTATGATACAAGTATAAAGGCCCTTGCTTTATTTGAGCTCCAATATTCCCATTAATTCCTCTCGATCCTCCTTTTATAATTTTTCTTTTTTTTCTTTCTTTCCATCAAAACTCTTGAGGTAGCAGTTGATGTGATTCCTCCACTACTATCACCTCCAAAAACCAAATAAACTTTACAAAAGAAAAGAGAAGAAATTAAAGAAAGGGAATTCTTAGCTAGATATATCAGCCATGGGGTTTTCTTCCATTCCAGCTTATCTTGATCCATCCAACTGGCACCAGGTTCTTCTTCTTCCTTTCCTTTTTTTTTTTTTTAAAAAAAAAATATTAGGGTTATGATGCTTCTTGTTTATAGCTTCCATGGTTTGATTTAGGCCAAAAAAGCAAAAAAAAATAAAAATAAATTTTACAAAAGCCAAATATTCTCATCCCACCCTTTTCCTTGATCTTCTTTGCTCTTTTATTTTTCATTCATTTTAATTTTAAATGTCTTGAATATACCATTCAATTCGATCGATCTCTATCTGTATTTTTTTTTTATATATATATTAAAGTTTATTTATTTTTAAATTTGCAGCAACAAATTGGTAGCAGCAGCACAAACCCTTTACAGTCCCAGGCAGGACCGCCGCCGCCGCCGCCGCCCCATGGCGGCGGCGGAGCTCAGGGATCAATCCGGCCTGGATCCATGGCGGAAAGAGCTCGTATGGCGAACATACCGATGCCCGAAGCTGCCCTGAAATGCCCTCGCTGTGAATCAACCAACACAAAATTCTGTTACTTCAATAATTACAGCCTTTCTCAGCCTCGCCACTTTTGTAAGACCTGCCGGAGGTACTGGACCAGAGGCGGCGCGTTGAGGAACGTCCCCGTCGGCGGCGGCTGCCGGAGGAACAAAAGAAGTAAGTCCACAAGCTCCAAATCTCCCTCCTCTGGCGGCGGCGGCGACCGCCAATCGAATCCCAATCCATCGACCGGCATAATTCCGACGAACGCCCCCACATCGGCGGCGGCGGCGGCGAACATATTAGGGCTTACGCCGCCGCCGATGCCGCCGCTGCGTTTCATATCACCGCTAACTCATCTGACGGATAATTTCACCAGCGACCTCGGTTTGAGTTACTCCGGGATCTCCGGTCCGGGAGTTGCAACAAACGAGATGAACTTCCACGGGTCCAGCGGGTTGTTCGGCGGCGCCGCCGCCGGAGTGGCGGCAACACTTTTATCCGGCGGCGGCGGCGGAGGAAGCTTAGAGCCATGGCGGCTACAGCAGATTCAGCAGTTCCCTAATTTCTTGCAGGAGCCATCGATGTACCAATTCCAGCACCACGGCGAATCTGGGCCGTTCATCGGTGGCGAGATGAACGGTCAGATTCGAGCGAAGCTTCCGAGCTCGATTTCGCAAATGGCGTCGGTGAAAATGGAAGAAAACCCTGAATTGAGCTTGTCGCGGCAATTAATGGCAGCTGGAAATTGGAACACGTCGTCTGTGCCAGCGTGGACAGACATATCGAGCTTCAGTTCTTCTTCGACGAGCAATCAAAACCCTAATCCCAATAACCCTTTGTAAATTGGATTTCCTCCATTGCTGAAGAGCTTCGAAAAATTTTATGTGTAGAAGAAATTAATTGGGATTGGAGTGAGGAACTGTTTGTTTCCATTTTCGAGGAATTGAGGTTGGGATCGAAGCTTTTTAAGGATCGAATCTGGGAAAGATCGAAGAATATGATCAGATGAATATTCTGAATGAGAGAAACCCTAGCTGAATTGGTAGGTTGTTTTTGTTTTCTGATTTTTATTTTTTTTTAGCCTGAGAAAAATTATATATATATATATATTTATGAGGGAAATTTGTAGTATAGTCTCGAAAAAAATGTTCGGAGTACGTAATTATGTGTATGAAAATATAAGAATTTATGAGAAATTATCGACGATTGTTTCGAACTTTATTTCTTCGTCGAATTAGTATTGAACAATACTTTCATCTCACACAAGGATTTTATAGCTCCATTTATGTTAAAATTTTATTACTCTCCAAATTTAGTTCATGCACTTTATACATATTGAATGATACTATTTATTTGTTTTATCAAATAATTTGAAGAGATATTTTTTTATATCAGATATAAAAAAAATTGCGTCATAAATATAAAAATAATGAATATATGTAATATATTAATTTTTTTAAAAAAAAGTGTGAGATTTTTTTATAAAAAACAAAAACCACATCCTAATTAACATAATACTCTCTCCGTCCATTTACAATGTTTACATATTACTATTTTGGGACGTCCAATTACAAATTTAACATTTCATTAAATATCATACTTTTTCCACAAATATCCTTACTTTATATCACATCATTACTTTTACACAAAAAAGTAAGGGCAAAAATGTCATTACACTATTTTTAACTACTCACTATAATTAAAATACTGTTATTTCTTAAACAACGCGCCAAAAATAAATGTAAATATTGTAAATGCACGGAGAGAGTATATAATCATTATAACCTAAGTATAAAAGATATATTCATGCAATACACCTATAAATATAAACTGTCAGCACATTGTAATATTTTACACGGCAATTGTTGTAGTAACTAATTTAACCATATATATGTGTGAAATATATATATATATATATAAGCATCTTTTGTTGAATTTGGTTCTTTTGATGCCTATATATATATGTATACACACTATTTTAAGAACTTATTTTTTTATTATTATTATATGTATATATATGGTTTGCACGCACATACACACACAAAAGCTGCAAATGGTCTCATTCAATTTGAATTATTGATTTTTATGAATTTCAATTTCCCCAATTTTATTATTATTATTTATTTTTTCTACACACATTGTGCCCTAGCTATATATATATATATATATAAAAAGAGAGACAGAGTGATCAAATATATAGGTACAATGATTTGTCAATAATGGAATGCATGCAAGAATGAATCTTTCTGCCATGTTTATTACACCAGTTAAGGAATTCATCAAAAAAAATTATAATTCTTTTTTTTTTTTTTTATCAAATATCTTTGAAATACATTTATATGTTTATATAAGGTTCTATTTCTTTTTAGATGTTTTTAAAATTTAACAATATATAATTACACAATTATATATATATATATATATATTTGCAACAGAACATTACTATATATATAAAAAACAAAAGACAAATTCAATGCCCCAATCCCAATATATATTATTTTCATTTCATTCAAACATCATCATTTGCTTCGAAATTCACAAACCCCAAAAAACAGTTTTTCAAAGTTTACTAGAAGAAACGTATTACAACTTTTCTTAATTAATTAATTTTAATTCTCTCTAATTGCCTCATCGACACTGCCCTTTTCAATTATGATCACCCCTTCAACACAATACATAAATATATATATATATATATATAACATGGCCGTAGTTAATGTGCTGATTATTTATTTATTTTTTTAAATCAAATATGGTACTGATTTTTTCAAATAATATCGATCAAGAATTAAAAAAACACATCATTTATATTAATATTTTATAAATATAATACTCCCTCCGTCCTAATACAATAGTCTTGTTTACTATTTTTGTCCGTCTCAAAACAATAGTTTCATTTCCATAAATACTCATATCACCATAAAATTATCCTTACTTTTTCATTATTGTTACATAAATACCACAACTTTTTATACTAATACACTCACAACTGCAAAAAAATCTTTTGTTCATACTTTTTACCAACTATCAATATAATATCAATATTTCTTAAATCTCGTATCAAACTCAAATAAGACTATAGTTTTAGGATGGAGGGAGTACTATAAAGCACAAATCATAATCCAAATAGCACAAATCAAGAGTTTAGAAAAGTATTGATTAAAGATCCAGAAAGCATCGGTCAAGAGTTCAAAAGAAAATAAATTATATTTAAAATTTGTGTTATCTGAACTCCTAACTCGTACTTTTTGGGTTTTTAATTTATGCTCCCTAAAGGCCTAAACGCCTCGAAACAACATACAAAATTTACATTCGAAAACTATTTTACTTAAAAAAAGAATAATAGTGTTTTATTCATTTTTCTATTGAAAGTAATAATCCATATGTTCCATAATTAAGTATCCATTTACCTTTTGCATGTTGATCTTTGGTTATTAATTATTATATCAAAACGTATTACAAATCAAGAAAAAACTGCAAAAATATTTCTATTAGTATCTTATAATACTAATATAATGACGTTTGTATAAAAAATTATACAAATATAAGAATATTTTTAACGTTAAGTACAATGACGTAAAAAGTAAATGGATACCTTGTTATGGAACGGAGGGAGTATTTGTTTGTTTTTGTGGTTGAATTTGAAATATTGAATAGTAAAATTTAGAATTTAAATAACTATTTAATATGATATAAATAGGTTGATATAATATTTTAGAATATTTTTATAATATAAAATACAAATATTTCATTTGATATTTTTTAAAAAAAATAAAATAAAAATTAGGTTTAAATATCGTGACTTAATTATGCATTGACTGATTTTGACTCCTGACTTTGAATAAATACGACTAAGTGAAAAGATGACAACATACTAAGATAACAATAATGTGGAAATTATCCTTAAATTATTTGGTTTATTTTATTCTTATTATATAATTATATGGTAATTTACAAAAATATAATATTTTATCCTATTATATATTTATATTTTTATAATACTCCCTTCATCTCATTTAAATGTTGACATTTTTTATTTTTATCTGTTCTAAAACAAGGTTACTATTTCCTAATTTAGTAATTGTACTATCTGCTTAACATAATAAATACTCTTTCAATTTAGACTATATCACATAAAATATCGTTACTTTTATATTACACAATACTAGTAGGGGTATTTTTGTCTTTTTTATTATAATCTATTATAATATTAATATTAAAAAATCTACGTGTAAAAATTAAACGACAACCTTACACCCGGGACAGAGGGACTATATTAAAAAACAATAGGAATTTTGTTAATGAGTGTAAAAAAGTTTCAACAAAATCCACATTTGTAAGTACATACTTATTTGTGTTGAATGATTGTTTAAGTGTTTATTGTTAAAAAGTTTATAATAAAATTATTACAATAAATGAATCAAATTCAACATTTTTTTTTAAAAAAATAATTACATCAATAAAAAATAATTTTTTTCATTCAATGTTATAAATTTATTATTCGCTCTGTCCATTAAAATTATGTCATTATTTTTCTTTATTGTCTGTTAAATTTATAAACAATCTATTTATAGTAAATAATTTTATCCACATATAATTTTAGTAAATTTACTTTAACAAATAATTATCAATTTGTCTTAGGTACCTAAAGTTGTTGTGGTCATGGATGATGTTGAAGGGAAGAAAAGAATCTTTGAAGTAACTTTTTTTGTAACAACTCAATCTATTAGGCTAATTACAAAAATTGTATCCAATAAAATAAAATATAAATAAATAAATAAATGGATCCAATAAAGTTTCATCTTATATATATATACATATATACAGGGTAGGGTGTATTTTCTTGTATATTTTAATTGTTTTGAATTTGATTTTCTATTTTTTTCTTTTCTTTTTACTGTAAATTGTTTTTTTTAAAAATACATAAAAAAAAAAAGAAAAAAAAAAGAGTATTAGAAATTACAATGACAAAGCAACAAATATGTATTTAGATATGGTTTCTAAATTTGTAGAGTTATAGAAATAGTAAAGAGTTTAGTAAAAAATAAGCAACTTATATTTGATATGATTTAAATAAGTATTCTCTCCATTCTAACTCGATATACTATTTTTATTATTTTTATTTGTTTTATCCAAAATATATTTTTTTATTATAGTAAAATTAATTTATATATAAATACCAAAATACTCCTAATATTTACAAAAATATTCATTTTTTTTTGTATTTACAAGGGCAATTATCTTGCGTATTTCTATTGACCAGTAAAATACTATTTTTAATCTACTATGAAAAAGTAAAAAAATATTTTGTGTCGGAATGAAAAGAATATTAATTTTTATTTTTGGTATAAAAGAACAAGGTTGTGTTTAGTTTTGAAAGAAAATAATAAATAAAAAGAAATATTTGGTGTAATATATATATATATATTTTTTTTAAAAAAAAACTATTATTGATAAATAATGGCAAAGTAATTTGAAACTACAACTAACTATAGCCTAAATTTTTATATATCATTTCAAATGAAAATTGTGTTAGATAACTTATTTTAGAAAATAATTATAAATAACATGAAAATGAATTAGTTAATTTGGTGTAGATCTATAATATTATCTATTTGGGTCTAATATACACAAATTTATATTTGGATTACTTCAAAAAATCTCTATTGGAATTTATAAAATGTGGATAATTCTTCCTTGTAGTACCTATACATATATAATATATTACAATTTACAAATAATATATTATTTCTGTCTCACGTCAAATTATTTTTTTACTATTTTTTATTTTATACTTTTTTTTTCTATTTTAGTAAAAATAATTATATACAAATATCAAAATATCCTTAATTTTTACTTAAATTACAAATATACAATTACATATATAACTTATACATATAAAGTTAAAGAACAAAAATAATAAAACATTTTTATCAATTTTCAGTAACTAATAAAATATTACTTTGTCCATCTCAGATAAATTGTCTATCTTACTGTATGTTACGATAATTTAGTTAAAGTATAATTAGTAAATAATTAAAAAATGTATTAATAAAAATAATTATGATATAATAAAAATAATGTATAAGACTTGTTTGTTAGTATTTTTGTTTGAGATAAATTTTTTATGTGAGGTATAGGATATTGTGTAAATAATACTCCCTCCGTCCAGTTAAAAAGTATACATATTTCTATTTTGGGACGTCCAATTACAAAGTAACCATTTCATTAAA